AAAAGAAAGCCCCTCAGCATAGGCTTGGAGCAAGTTTTAAAAAAGAGGAAAAAGGGAAACAGAAATCACAATACACGACAGCATGTTTGCCAAGTATGTTCATAAAGCTCCTTCCTCTTCACATTTTGCATTTTGGGCTTCGTCCCATTAAGTGCTGGATTTGGCGTGCAGTGCGTGCATCTTTCTTTTTCAGACCAGTGGCTTGAGTCGGTATCGGCCTTAGTGAGCGATATGATGTTAAGTTGTTAACCAACCGTTCTCTTCGTGTCTTAAATGCATGGATGGATTGCCCAAGGAGGCTTGTTCCCCTTCAGGACCTCATCTGTTCTTAGTACTTCTTTACTAATCTCAGTAATCTGTCCTTGTCACTTGTGGGGTTTTATTTTGCTCCAATTATGTATTGAATCTAGTGATCTTGTCCCAGAGGGTGTTTACTTTTCTCTTCCCCCCCACCGTCTCCCTGTGTCCCAGGGAGTTCTTTTCGGTTCTGGTATTCTTGCTTCTTGGCAACGGCCGATGGTTATTAAACAGCAACTAAAATCACAGCATCTGCTTCCAGTCGTGTGTGCGATCTCCTCCCACCCAGAGGGATTTATGCGATCTCCTCCCACTGAAAAGGGGGTATTCCCTCCCCCCCCCCCCCCCCCCTTGTCCCTCTTCCTCTCCAGGAGTTATTCTGGGTCTGTGTTTTTGCTTTTGGCAACGGCCCGTGGCAATGAAACAGCCAGTAAAATCACAATGTGTGCTTTCAGGGGAAATGAAGGGAGAAGGTGCTAGCTGTGCGCATGGGAGGTTCCCCTGCCTGCAGGGGTACCATCTGCAAGTTACCTTTCCGGCCCGATAGTGTCATGATTAGGGTACGTACTACGTACTACGTTGTTTTCGGGGGAAGACGGTACTCTGATGAATGACAATGATTATCCTTTTGTTTGGTAGGGCCTGTAACTGGAGAGCTGGGTCTGGTAGGCAGGCCTAGAGCCCCCTCGCACTCGGCTTATGTGACTGTTTGACACGCTATCCTATGTATGCAGTGCGTCTTTGGCTGTCTTGTCGCGGTTGCCCATGGATAGAAAATCTGCCTCTTTCTTTCTGATCGCCTCTTGCTGGAAGCTGAAGAAGGATGGCAACGATATTGTTGCCACATACCTCATGATGGGCAGGATGGAATTGTGAAAGAGGCAATCCGCATCCGCGGTCACGGCGTGTCCGGGGGATAGATGTGTCTTGTGCCCCTTGTCAGCATCTGATTAAGCATGGATGATAATAAGAAATTAAGAATGGACTACATCCTCTAAAAGGAGGAAGGAAGGATGCAGAGAAGATTAGCATGGCCCCTGCACAAGGATGACAATTAGTCATTTCTTTTGCTATGTAAAATTTAAATTCCACCTTGGCCCACCTCTGGGAAACCAGAAGAATTTGTAGCAGTATCTGCTCTCGTCAGTTTAAAAAAGAAAAGAAAAGAAAAGAAAAAACTTTAAAAAGGTAAGATACCTTTTTCTAAGTTTCTCGGCCTTTGGGCCAAGACTAAGTGTAGAACATACTTTTTTTTTTTTTTTTTTAAGAATATATTATATAATACTATATATTTCTTGTTGTGGGTAAGTACTAATTTGTTTGTTTCATGCTGTGGGCATTTCTTTATTGAAGTTTATTCATCTGTCCAGTGTCCACCTTTCTTCCTACGCTCACATCTCTTCTTGTGTCATTTAAACTCATTTTGCAGGGTCCCAGGTGTGAGACAGTGAAACTCACATCCCGTCCTGTGTAAATTTGCAGGGTTCTATTTACGGGACAGTGCGGTACCTGGGGGAGAAAGATGGTTGTCCGATCCTTACATTCACGTACGTGGATTGCATGGCCTTTTGTTTGTAATTATGTTTTTTTTTATTCTTCAAAGTGTTTCAATAAATAAATAAATAAATAAATAACAATTACAAAACAGTAAAAATTGCCTCAGGGTAGGGGGTAACTGAGGGAAGGATAACAGTAATATTTGAAGTAACTGAGGGAAGGATAACAGTAATATTTGAAGTAGCGATGAGCTAGGCAAGTTTTTTTTTTTTTTTAAGTAGGCAAGCTTTGGAGTGGCAGGAAAGAGATGTTGATTGGATAAGCGCCCTCAGGGACAGCCGCGGAACGCCCCCCCCACGCCGTGCCCTGCAGTGGACCTGTCTCTTATACACATCTAGATGTGTATAAGAG